ATCCTATTCCCTTACAACCTGGAATTTTAATGGACTTTTCAATTTGAGTACAAGTAATTTAGTGACCGATGATATCCGTTTTATTTTTTCCTGAATTCTGATGTTTTGTTTTTCCAAATTCCACATTTTCATTCTATTTTATGATATAAAGCTCAAAAAAGTGAACTCTAGTGTCATGTAGCATGTAGCATGCTACCTCTGTAGCATGAGAGCCTCATGAACATACATGTAGCTAGAGAAACGTCTTCAGTTTACCAACATCAGCTGGTGTCTCCTCAGGGCACAGTGCTGAACCTTGAGTTCACAGGGAGTTAATTTTTTTATACATGATGTAAATTTAGTAAACTTCCATAAACTTTGCAAGCAGCATGCAGGTAAACACAATTATGTTGTTAAGCCAGAGGAAGACACTTAAACAATAAAATGTGCCGGCTTGGATAGAGGAAGGTAATGATGTTACAGCTTGCTTTCCCAATCTCTGCTCCAAGTCTGTTCATAACTGTTTTTGTACTAGGGTTGGACAATATTGGCAAAAAAATTAATCACGATTAATTGTGGTATTTAACCGATAAGGATTCATTTGACAATGAATCCACTGGAGTCCCTGGACACCCTTATGTCCTGGTCACCTGACCAATTTAGTGGAAAAGATTTCCTCTTCATATAAATCTTTTTCAAATTGTGTCAAAATTACAGACTTAAGGCTATACATAAAAAATTTAATTGTGTTGATAGATAAATAAATTACAGAATTTTTTTTAAATGTTCATCATATTTGAAGCAGAGAGGAGCACCAAGCGGACTCTGCCTGGTGGCATTAATCGTATTAATCGTCAAGTGCCCAAAAATGACTGATTAATGTTTTTCTGACGATTAATTGCACATGATACGATTATGCCCAACTCTAGATTGTACGTAAACTTTGTAAACCTTATAAGTGTTGCTGTGGGGTGCGTGTTTGTGGTATCAGTATATTAGTTTAAAATGGTCTCCAAACAATGCTATAGTTTATCGCAAAATTTTTTGCAACAATTTATTGTCCAGCTAGATTTGTTATTGTGACTGGCCTAGTCAGATGCAGCTTTCATGTTTGGGATTGTGTGAGCCGCATGAGGAGAAGCCCAGGAACTGGTTATTCCTTGGCACGGGGCAGTAACTTAATGCTCACTCAGGAGGATGCAGCCCCTGAATTGAAACATAGCCATAGACCCACACAAATTACTGCAAAATAATTGTTGCATTTATTTACCGTTGGTCAACCAGGTACATCCCATTGGGAGCGCAGATCTCTTTTTCAMGGGTGGCCTGGGTCTGAAGGCTTGTACATGTTTTTAAGGTGTTTGAGACACCGGAGAACCCGGAAAAAACCCATGCAAGCACGAGGAGAACCTGCAAGCTCCACACAGAAAGACCCCAGGTCCGAACTGGGGGTGGAACTCAAGACCTGTGTGGTGGAACCCAAGGACATGCTGTGAGCCGTTGTGCTGCCTTGGACTAAATGAACTAAAATAAACAAAATCATTGTTTTCAATATATTAAACAAAATCAAACTGTAAAGGGGTCTATGCACAAGTATTCACCCCAAAACGTTGGAGCCTGACTCATTAGCTTCACCACAGCTAACCAGTTGTGTGCCTATTTGCTTCAGTCGACCTGCCCAAGTAGTACTCTGACTGCTGGAGATGATCACCAGCTCCCCACCACTCTGCACAGGATCAAGTGGGGACAAAAAATAGATGAATGAGTTTATCTGATGCTGTTATTTTGCCAAGGTTATTCCAGTCTTTGTCCACATTACGTTTCCTTAGCAGGACTGGCCATTTGTCTTCTGAACAGACTGGTGGAGACTGGTTTGGATATCTGCAGGGTATTTTTTATAAACCACAGCACATTGTCCAGGATCTGATGCTGTTAGACCTAAAATCCTGTAAACTGAGCTCCTGTGACGGAACAAAAAGTGAATCTCTGCTTCTCTCCACTTAATGTTTAAGAGATGATGTATTTATTCAGCTATTTCAGTTGCAACTCTGCACGTCTGTCTGTAATCTCCTCTTCTCAGTTTCAAACCTTGTCAAGTCCAGCAGGCCTTGGACCCTGACAAGGTGTTCTGGATCAGACCAGGAGAACAGACCCAGAAGGATCAACTGATGCCTGATACTGGATCTGTTCTGGTGGGCAGACGTAAAAACAGGAATGGGAGAAAGATCATCAGTTTCAACTGGTCTGATGAGAAGTTTTCTGGGCACAGGACGTTCATCAGAGGCCATGAGTCTGGAACAGAAACACAATCCAGTCCTGTGATCTCCAGACCTCTTCAGCTCCTGCTCCCTCACACAATCTGTCCTTCCTCTGGGCCAGGCTTTAGTCCATGAGTCCTCACTGGTTCAGTTTTTCTACCTTCATGTTGACAATGGAGGCTTTAGGTATTTACTGCTCTGCTGATCTTAGATCACAGAAAACTACAAAMACTTTGAAGGTTTCAGATGATCTGACCTGAAATGTTAAGTGATCCTCAGCTGTGGTTGGAGTTTGGTTTGAAACAGATGAAGATGGATGTTCTGTTATTGTTCATGTCCGGCCTCATTACAACATAGTTGTTTCACTTCTTACCTGTTTCTGACCGTTTACWCATAGTTTTACATCCTCGTGTGTTTCTGTGTGTTTTAGACCCACGGGGTATTTCTGGAAGTAAACACAACATGGTCTGAGGTCTCTGTGGAGACAGGACACACACTACTCCTTTGTAGCATGTTTTAAAGACATCTGTGAGAMTATTCAATCTTTCATCTTTTCTCATTTTACAGATTTGTTTAAAACTCATTTTATCCTGTTTTGTGTCGACTGAGAAGCTCCAGGAGCTCAGTTTTACGTTTAGCCCCAAGACCTGGAATGAAGATCCGTTTGAGACATTTTTGGTTCATCTCTGACTGTTTTTGAGTGTTTTTATTCCACAGGACACGTTTCCTTTTTGCTGCAGCCCTGCTGCCTCACAATTATGGAGACAGGGAAGTTGTTGTACGAAAAGTTTGGGTAATGAGTTTAAAACCTATGAAGGTGTCATAAACTGGTCGTTGGAAAGGCTCCTGAATAGTAAATAAAAGTGTTTCAGTCTCACCGTGGCTTGCAGAGTGGAGGAGAAATTCCACAGTCACTGAGTCAGTGGAGGTGGTGGAGCAACAAGTACCAAAGCAGATGTCACCAGGACTGTGGTATGTTGGAGCGCTGAAGATCCTGGCAGCTTTGCTCCTTCATTTCATCAGTTTTCTTCTAAAGATGATCAGGACACATGGAGTAACTGGAGCCGCCTGTCGGCCTGTCCTTTTCTGATTTCTGCTGTAGAAGAACAGACAGAGGATTCACAGCTCAGGCTGGAGTGTTGGACATTTCATTAGCAGTGAATAGAGTCACACTTTAAATCTGATTTGTTGTCATAAAACACAGACTGAAGACATTTTAACTTAACACTCAATTTTTCTCATGTTTTGTCCCTTTTCTTCCCTTTTTAATGTCTTCACCTTTGCATCATATGAAATAGAGTTCACCTCCAACCGACACCATAAAACACAACRTGTCACTCCTGATGTTCGGCTTTTTGCAGACTGTATCTGATCCGAGCAGCTTTCATCAGATTACCTCCATGACATGTCTAATGCTCCTTGTTTTATACTCAAGTAACGTTGGCTTTACGCAGGGATTTGAACCTGGAAGCTGAAACATRGCTGCTCTGCTGGCTGAGCCACGGTCCTAACCGTCTGTGATTTATCACAAGAGGCCGTGTGGAGARGAGCAGCTGAAGAGGCTGAAACTGTTTAAGGCTCACAGTTTGAAGAGGAATGTTGATGGGCAGAAAGGAGCAGACATCTGCAAAGACATTTCACACATAGATGCCTTATTTTTCCTACTAGGATGTTATAAAGTGCTTTTGGGATGCTGACATGAGTTTGTTTCAAGAATGTTAGAAAGAGTGTTGAGTTTTTGGGTTTGTGGAGTTTAGTTTTTCCATTATTAGTTATTGAAGACAGACAACAGCTACAAGTGATTAAGATGCACTTTTCTGCTTCTGAAACCTGAGCGTCTGCTAATGAGACGTTTTCAGGTTTTACCCTGTAAAGAAAGCCTGTGTGTGTGTGTGTGTGTGTGTGTGTGTGTGTGTGTGTGTGTGCGTGTGTGTGTGTGT